AACAGAGCAGCCAAGACCCCCAACAGAGCAGCCAAGACCCCAACAGAGCAGCCAAGACCCCCAACAGAGCAGCCAAGACCCCCAACAGAGCAGCCAAGACTCCCAACAGGAAGTGAGTGAAGCCCTCTCTGAACCGGACAGAACCCAGACCGATGTGTGGTGCTGCTCATGAGGCCAGAGCTCTGCTGCTGCTGCTGCTGCCGCCTGTCGCTGCTCATCAACGCCACATCAAACAGCAGACGCTCCGCAGGGTTTCTGTCCAGCAGACGCTCGTTCACTCTCTGCAGCGCCTGGCACAACAACACACGATAAATCTTTAAAAACAGCCAAACTTCAGCTGTTTGTTTACGGTCAACACCTTTAGTTTGTTCCATGTTTTCTGACTTGTCCACCTGCGGCTCGAAGATCCGATCCCGTCTGTTTGGGTCGTTCAGGCCTTCCTCTTTACAGGTTTTCACAATAAAACTACTTCCTCAGACTCTGAACTCTTAATTTGTAAAACTTTCAGCGTGGAGTACAGAATGGTCCGACCTTTACTCGTTCTAACCATTATTCTTTCTAAATATTTAACTTTACAAACATTTCATCCATAGAAATACAGAAAGTTATCTTCAGTTTCTGCAAAACGTTCTCTGAAATCTAATTCGGCACGCTGCCTCCATTTTGTTTTGCTCCTTTTAGACTTAAGCTACTGTCTTGCTGCTTTAAGCATGAAGCAGATGTTTAGGTGATTTTAGCTTGTAGCTAGTGTATTGCTGAGTTTAGATCTTAACTAGTTTTGGTGATTTAAGCTTTTAGCTACAGCATTGGTCATTTTAGTCTTCAGCTAGTTGTGGCAAGATTAGCTTTTAGCTGATGCTTTGATTATTTGAGCTTTTGGCTACTGTTAGTGATTTTATCCTTCAGCTACATATGGTGAATTTACAGTTTAGCAGATTTCAGCTTTTAGCTTCTGTTTTGCTGATTTTAGCATCGAACTACAATTTAGTTGATTTTACATCATTTCTTGGGTAAAAATAACATAATTCTAAACGTTTCAGTTAAAATGTCCTCTTCAGCTACTTTCAGCAGTTCTTCAGCTCTGCTTGGTACAGAAAACCCATTTTGTCTTGTTCGGCTCGTAAACCCTCACCTCTGGTCATGAACTCTGGTAGAGACTGAAAGAATGAGATCGTGGATCCAGGAGGTTGAAATGAGTTTCCTCTGCAGGAGCTGGACTCTCCCTCAGAGACAGGGGGAGAAGTTCAGGTATCAGGAGAGACTCAGAGGAGAACCACTGCTCCTCCACATCCAGAGGAACCAGTTGAGGTGGTTCATCTGGTAAGGATGCTCCCTGGACACCTCCTCCCTAGAGAGGTGCTTCGAGCATGTCCGACTGGGAGGAGACCCCGACGAAGACCCGGGACACGCTGGAGAGACTAAGACACTTCAGCTGAAAGTCCTACATTCTGTCCACCTTTAAGAGACACTTCACTGATTGTCCTACAGTCTGTCCAACTTTAAGAGACACTTCACTGATTGTCCTACAGTCTGTCCAACTTTAAGAGACACTTCACTGATTGTCCTACAGTCTGTCCACCTTTAA